ACACACACACACACACACACACACACACACACACACACACACACACATATAAGATGAAGCACTCAGCAGCTGCTGCAACCAGATCACCTTGAGTGAGTAGATACATACATGGCTGAGTCTAGGCATTGCACCTAACTAACACTGAAGCATTTCTTTTGTGTGTGTGTGCCCATTGGATGAGAACAGGTGGTGATGGAAGGGTTCCTTCTCACGGCCATGTAATTTAAAGCAAAAATAGTCATTTCATAATATCTTGTTCTATTTTCTTCTTGTCAGGAATTTGAAAAGAACTGGGCTTTCCCCATTATAGTCTTCCCCGTTATAGTCACCTTGGTCTCTCTTCATCAGAATGCTTGCCTGGGGCTGGAGGAACCCCTTCAGCGGTAACTCACTTGACAGGCTGAGACCCAGCTCCAACCCTTAGTAAACATATTTTCTGAGGAAGCTGCTCAAATTCTGTAAGCTCTTGTCTACTTGGCTATCAAATAAAAAATAGTGATGTTAACACACACTTGGTACATTGATTGGAGAGTCAGTGAGCTTATGTCAAAGACTTAACAAAGCTTACGGTCCATAAAAGGAAACATTCTGCCATAGGGAAGAGGAATGGAAACCCGGTTCCACAAAACCAACGAGCTCGGTAATTACTCCCTCTAAGTCCTGCGCTTACCCAAGAGTCCTCTCGTCCGTGACTAAGTAATCCACCCATCCGTTCATGTCAGACTGCGTAGTGTAGGTGAAGGTGAATCTAATCTAATCTATCTATCTATCTATCTATCTATCTATCTATCTATCTATCTATCTATCTATCTATCTATCATCTATGTAAGCGTCTTGTCAGCTTTAAGCCGGGGAATCTTTTCTATACGGTCCTGGGAACCAAAGCGTAAATATTCATACCCACTTGCTGTCATGTAAGTCAGCCTAGGTGCCTTGCTTTAAGCAGTGAGTACTTGCTTGACACAGAGAGAAGTCCCCCCCACCTTTGGATAAATTCTATTAACTAACACAAAGTTCACTGCCAACAAAGGAACATGACACAGTGTTATTAAGTTTGCCTACATGGGCATGAATGGGCTGTGCCTGTATTATATAAAAGGTACAGTTTCCAGCCCAATATGCCACCAGTAGTTTGTCTGTGATGCCTTTCCCAGTGTGGTTTGAGGCTTGTAAGTCCTCTCCCCCTCCACCTCCTCTTTACATTTGTGGATATTTTAAGATTTTATTTAAAATATCAACAATATCAAACTACTTATATCCCATATAATTATTGACCTTTCTCTGTGACCTCCTTTCTACATGTTTTCCCACCGCAACCAGTCATTGTAGCTTTATTCATGGCACCTCAGGATCTGCTAAGAATGGGGCGAGATAACAGGAAAACGCTTGGCGGGCACAGAGAACCACCACTCCCAGCATCCTCGGCGCTCCAGTGCCCGCGGTTTCCTCTTCCGGTCCGGCGGCTGAGAAAACTGTATAAGCTATGCTTGGGGACGCGGCGCGGAGCTTGATTCACCTTCACCTACGCTGAGCGCCAGCTGACCCCGGGCTTCCGCCCGGAGAGCAGTCTGACATGAACGGACGGGTGGATTACTTAATCACGGAGGAAGAGATCAACCTGACGAGAGGACCCTCGGGTAGGCGCGGGACTTAGAGGGAGTAATTACCGAGCTCGTTGGTTTTGCGGAGCCGGGTTTACCTGGCTGGAGAGCAGGCAGGCCCCGACCGAGCCGCCTCCAAGAACGCTAAGAGCCCATTGGCATCCTTTGTTAGCTAGTTAATGGACCCTAGGGCTGCTTCTCAGTCTAGGCGGATTACCACAGGCATTTATGGCCAGGAAGGCTTGCTTTCTGCTGGTTGTAATAGAAAAGACTAGAAAAACGCCCGCTGTTTAGCCAGCGCTGTAGTAGACTCCGCATCCGTTATTCAGTTGCCTGCTCCATCCCTGTTTCCATGAGGGCACATTCAGGTAAAAGTGAGAGCAGTAAACGGCATAGCAGTTTTCCTGGTGCTAAGGTCCTTGTCTGCATTTCTGGGAAATGAATTTACAATGTCAACTGGAATGCTAAAACAGGAGTAGACCTTTTACAGAAGTTTCCAGACTTGGCTCCATCCCAGAACGACTTGGCCTTTTCGTTTTTACCCTTTTTTTTTTTTTTTAAATAAACAAAGTATTTAAATGAAAATGCTATTTTCTATTTCCATGTTTAGGGACTTGGATAACAAATACTTCTTGTGATTCTGACAGGAAAATTCCGAGTCAGCCCTGCTGTATGGTCGTCCTCATTGATGCTGGTGGCTGGACTAGCCTCTTGACAATATTACTACATAGTGCTACTGCCTTCCTTGGACTTTGTTGTTTTCTTTACAGCTGTAACATGGTTTAGGGTTCACCATTTGTGGCCGAGTTTTTTTTTTTTTTTTTAATTTTTGTATTTTTGTTTAGTTTGTTTAATTTATTGGCAGAGGAACTTAACTGATATATGCTTGTAGTTTCTTCTCTGTCAAATGGAGATGGTTATGAAAGGCACAGTGTTTCACATATAGTACAAGGATGAAGGCAGTTAGCCTCCGGAAAATATTTAGAACATTGTCTTGACATGGTAAGCATTGTCTATTTGTTACTGTTGTTGAATTTGTGAATGAATAGCCGGACTGACTCCTGCAAGTTCTGTATTTCAAGGGTTTAATAAATCATTGGTTATTGTGAATTTCTATTCTGATTGCTACTATTTAGAATAGTCTGTCAACTTTTCTCATCTAGAGGCTTGTAATAGCTTAATCACTACTGATAGATTATTCTCTATAAAGCACAGCAGTTAGAATTAGTCATACTTTTTGTTTTCCTGGTAGGAGAAAATTGGAAGTTGATTGTATTTATGGCAATAACTCAACTGATAATCTTTATGGTTTAATACAGAAGCTGTGTTCTGGTTGATTTTTTATTTTATTTTTTCAACTTGACAGAAGCTAGAGTTATCTGGGGAGAGGAACCTCAGTTGAGAAAATGCCTCCATCAGTTTGCTTGCCTGTGGGGCATTTTTTTTTTTTTTTTTTAATTCATGATTGATAATGGGAGGGTCCAGCTCTCTGTGGGTCGTGCTACCCTGGGGCAGATGTGGTCACGGATTGTAAGAAAGCAGGCTGAACAAGTCATGAGGAGCAAGCCAGTAAGCAACACCACTTCAGTCTTTATGCTTCTGCCTTGAGTTCATGTCCTGACTTTTCTTCATGATGGACTGTTACCTGAAAGTATAAGATTAAATACCCCCTTTCCTCTCTTACTTGATTGTGTCATGGTGTTTTTTTCACAGCAATAGACATGCAGGCCTGGGGGCAGGCAATCCTATTTCTGCTGATCTCAGGGTGAGATTTTTGGGATTTGGACACACTTAGACCCCACTCTTTCTCCTGGCCAGGCTCTCCCCAGTCCTATTGTTCCTTAGCCCCACAAATTTTCTCCTTCTGTCATGTGGGTCTCAGGGGGATTGAACTCAGATTGTCAGACTTGGTGGCAAGCACCCACTGAGCTATCTCACCTAGTAGTCTCAGATCTTTCAATAAAAGTCTCTCTCAATCTCTCTCTATATAATCTTTTGGTATTTTTTTTCTTTCCTTTTTTGGATCAGTTGCTATGGACCTATCTTATTTCTTTGCAAAGACATAAAGGCATCTAGTTCTTTAAACTAGGTACCCTACCATGATACTATTTTTTATGAGGTTTGAGGTTTTCTACTTGCCTCATGGCAAGAACCTAATATACTTTGATATAGTCTCTTTGCTGTGGAATCACAGTATTTCCAAGTTTTATGATATTATTATTCTTGCTATCAGCACTAAATTTAACATATCATTGTTTGAGCTTTTTGCATTTGAATAGGCATTGTCTAATTTCCAAGCATTAATCTTACAGATCTAAAGTTTCTAGTGTTAGCGTTCTTCAAACATTAGAGGGAAAGCTTCAAGAGACTAAATAAGAGGGTAATTATATATAGTTAACAAAGTTTTACACAAAAGCAGTTTATTTTCTGTATTGTCTAATTATTTGTTTAAAAATAAAGAATGAGTTTATCCCTTGAGTGCCTTCTGGGATTTTCTTAAGTATTTCCAAGTATTAGTCATTGTTATTAGTCAGGGTTCTCTAGAGGAATAGAGTCAGTAGAATGAATATGTGTATTAAAAGGAGATTTATTATATTGGCTTACATGATAAGGTCTGAGTAGTCCAGCAGTGGCTGTTGGCATAGTGAAGAGGCTGAGAACCTGGTAGCTACTCAGGCTATAAAGCTAGATGCCTCAGCAGACCCAACCTGGTACTGAAGATCTGGAGGCTACCTGAAGAGCCACTGGCCTATAGAAAATATTGGAAGCCTGAAGATGCTGGGTTCTGATAGCAGTGAAGAAATGTAGCAGCAGGAGAAATTCCAACAATAAGTAAATGGATTACCCAGCGGGATAATTAAACTTTTATGAAGGAAATGTGAAGAAAATAAGGCTTTAAAAAGCTTGGGCTTCCTATCTGGTTGATACTGGAAGGTACTGCCTACAATTTAGGGTGAGTGTTTCCACTTCAAATAACCTGATCAAGAAAATCCCTTATGTGTTTGTTCATGGCTAATGCTTAGTTGATTCTAGATTCAATCAAATTGAAAGCCAGCATCACAGTAATGTAAGTCATTGAACTTCCCAGGAAAAAGTAATTACAAATTTAGTTTGGTAAAAACAATCATTGGATGTTTGTTGATTCAGTAAACAAAGTTCCTGCTTATCACTTTCCAGAGCTGGTTCATGCATGGCCTGTGGCATTGTTGGTCTCAGAGTCTTCATGGTGACATCATAAAGATAAACAGTCACTAAAAACTTCTGAGTAATTTTGGTAGTGCCAGAGGAATCTTTATTTCTATCTGAGAAATATGAGAAGACCCTGGTTCTGAGAGTTCAGTTCCGTTTGCAGGCAGCATTGTCTGGTTTAACTGGATGAATGTGTGTATGATTACTTTTTTTGTGCTGCTATAGCATCAGAAAGGAATCTCAGATATTTGTAGTTTTGTAAAGCAAATGAATCTACTGAAAACAAACAATCATAATGATTGTCTAAGGAGTGAAAAGGAAATGGCATGTAGCTTGGCCTTTGTCCTGTGTTTGCTTCCCTGTCATTGTAAGGAAAGTCTCAGCAGTCTTTGATTTCAGAAGGCTGTTCTGCTTTTGATCTTAGGCTCATTCCTCATTATTTTTTCTGTCATTTGAAAAAAAGATTAAAAAATGTGTATCTGTATGAGTGTTTTGCCTGCATTAGCATGTACACTGTGTGTTTGCCTGGTACTCACAGAATCTAGAAGAAGGTGCTAAAAAAAAAAACAAAAACAAAAAAACAAAAAACAAAACAAAAAAAAAAACAAAACAAAGCCTAGAACTGGAATTATAGGTGATTGTGAGCCATCTAGGTGGGTACTGGGAAATGAACTCTCTGTCCTCTGTAAGGGCAGCAGATGCTCTTAACTGCTGAGCTATCTCTCCAATTCCCAGGTTTCTGCCAGTTTTTGTTTAGCTGGTGATCTAAGAAATCTCAAAGGCAGAAGTCATAATCTCAAATGCTTTCAAAGGTTGAACAGCTCATCTTTTATCCTTTATGAACAATTTCAGCTTGATTGTATTTGAAGGCTTTCACTTTTAAGTATCAAACTTAAGAGATCTTAAAATTGTAATGACTCATTACTGTAAGCAATATGACAAGACTAATCTAACTCTTATTTTCTGTAGCAGAGATTGAATATAAAGGCAGTTCTACTGCAAGTAAGTGGTTTTAAGGGCTCAGTGGCTTTCAGCAAGTTACACCCAATCTGCCATCTTCAGAGAGGGAAGAAGACATACCCCATATTGTTATTGTCTTTAGAGGCCTTTCAAAGGAAGGGATAGTTAGCACAATGCTTTCATTAAGAATAATTAAGGAAGTGCCTTTCTGGAAGTGTGCTAATTACTATATGTTTTATACTTGTATTTTATATTTTGTCCAGGCTAAGGAGTCTCTGTTTATATCCACATAGGCTTAATTAGTTCTTCTAGAACCCCTAAATTGTAGATATTTAATCTATACTATTAGCTTGAGAGGTTGTCTGAGGGAGGCTAAATATTTGGCGAAGATCTAAGGCCAGTGAGATCCAGAAGATTCTACTCTAGGTCTTTTGATTCTACTGTACTGGACTAGATAGTTCTTTCTACTACAGTACAGTAAGAAGTTGACTACTAACCTTTTCCCTGGCTTTTTATTTTGTTATGGCATGCCTTATTCCCTACAGGGATTTGATGCATGCGAAAAGACTTAAAAATCCATTGTGGAAAGTTTTTAGATTTTGTTGGTAAATCTGTGGGCATATCAAGGTGAGAACCTGAAAACAGCACATTACATCTGAGTATTTATGATTTTCAGTCATGTGCTACCCATTTAACCACTGACTGCAGTTGTTGCTAACAATTTTCTGGTTTGCTCCTTCCTGCATTTGATAAGTAGACTGGAGACCGTAGTGCTATTTTTTATGGCTACAGAAAATTTAGTCCTTTACGGGATTTATAGAACAATAGAGACCTGGTATTCACATGCAAAGGGTTAAATACCATTTCATAGGTTCATGTGGTTTTGG